TAAATTATGCTGCCATGGGGAATCTCTTTGCTCAGCAGCAGTTGCTAGTAACAATGTCCAACCTCCAACACCTTGTGAACCTGAACGCACAAAATTCTAGTGTCAGTAATGGTAGTGGAACTAATGGAGGATATTCATCACCCCTTCCTGATATTTTTCAGTCAAACTTTCCAAATCAAGCTCCTACTTCACTGATGAACAGTTCAAAGAAAGAGGAAACAAGAGCATTTGATTTTATATCTGTAAGTTTAAGCTCTAGCACTTGGTATTTATGTGCTTTTTCATCATCTTTTAACTGGGGTGTGTCTGAAATAGTTCATACCATGGAAATTTATCAGGCTCCTAAGTTATTATTTCTCTCGGAGGAATGGAGTAGTTCATAGCAACAGCTAATAACACGGTATCTAGCTAGCCATAGGAAAGGGGAGAAGGAAAATCTGGCAATTTTTATTTTAATTGAGTTCTGCAGTTTTTTCATGGGACTAGTATAAATCTGAATCTATGACTGTTAAGAGGATTCATAAGATTGTCCTCAACTAAACCTAGTTTTCATTTGCCACTTTTTGTCAAGAATTCCCTTTCTCAACTTTTTCTATATAGAACAGAGACCTAATTTAAACCAGATTGCATATTGGTAAATATGATATAAAACAATAGAATATTTGGTATTTATAGGTGCATACTTTTGATAACATTTGTTGTGTCTATTTGTAGGATCACCTTGCTGCATCTCGTGATGGAAAGAGGGTTGTTTAAAGCTTTGAGCCCTTGATTAATGTCTCTTGCAATCTCCTGGCTTTCCATGAGGTAACATTATTTTGCAATGATGGAGCTGTGGTTGGTTTTCTTGTTACAGGCATTAAAAAGTTGAAGAGAGTAAGTTTCAAAAAAAAGTTGAAGAGAGTAGGTATAAAGCTTTAAGGCTTCTTTTTGGTTCGAGAAAAGAAATTTGGGAAAATGTTGTGCAGTTAGCTGTTGCAGTTTTTCAAACACTTCATTTCTTCATTTTATTTTATTTTATTTTTGGTATGCAGAGAATAGAGTTTGAACTCTAAACCTATGACTAAAAGCACAAATAACTCTATTACCAAATTATATGGCTGATGGTAAAAAATATTTTCTTCATTTGATTGTAATGGATTCGAAGAGCTTTTCTTCATTATTTGTTTTACTATAAAAGAGCAAGAATTCTCCATAATCCATAATCTATAATCATCCATCACTTTCTTTGTTCTTCCTTGAAAGATATGATCTATAATTAAATCAAATCGTCTTATGTCGACACCCTTAAAAAAGTGGTGCTAGACAGCTCCATGAGCTTCATCAGTGTCAGCTTCCTGAGATATCTTGCTTTGCCATCAAGTTCCTGCAGAGATAACCACAAGCACTGTTAGAAACAGAACAACAATTTAACATTCTGTACAGAAAACCCTTGAAGGAATAAAAGCTAACTTGAAAGAACAATACTATTTTTAAGTTTTAAAGTAGCCAGCCAAGTGCTATAATTGGAATTTTTCCCGTTCCCACTGATTAAAGGCAGCTGAAATTGGAACTATGTGTCTCAGCTTCAGAATAACACTCAAACTAGCTTGAGAATTTGTGCATTTTCCTCTTTAAAAGAAGTATGAAAGTCTTCCCCAGAGCAAGTAACCCTTCAGTAATGACTATAAATCTGTCATCTTATCTATAACAAGCAGCTCTATATATATATATCCATTCTTTTCCTCGTATCATCACAAGTTTTTTTTTTTTGGTAAATATATCATCACAAGTTAAAACTTAAAAGCAATCATTAAAACACTCAAAGAATAAACAAGCACTCACTTTTCATACGACATTCCAAGTACTTCTTCGATAAGTGTCTACATTTTTCAGAATTGTTGCCAGAAGATTTGAGACAACTGATGTACCCTTTCTTCTCCTGTAAAAAAGGCAAATACACAAACCAGAAGAATGAAGGGTCCAACAGCCAAAAGAATGAGATGGGAAATTTTACTCCTTTACTTACCGGGTCACATTGATGCATATGATCCAAAGGGAAAACTTCTTTCTCTGATGGCACTGGTCTCCATCCCCTGGTCCCACCAAATGCACCACCTGCCACAAAACCACTGATTTTTTTCATCCCTGAAGATCAACAACCTAATAAAATTTACGCAGCATAATAAATAACAAAGACAAGACTCCACCTGCGCTCATTTGACAATCTTTTGATTGCTCGGCCGTTGCCGTTCCGGTGATTGCCTCTTCCACTCAACGTGTATACACGTTTTAAAAATGGTTTCTTGATACGGTTCCCATCCCAATTCCTAGTTTCCTAAATGGAATCAGAATGGACTGTTTTATCCTTTTTGGCCCATGAGTTTGAGTAACTGTTAAATTTTGGTCCCTATACTTTCGATACCATTTTCAGTTTAGTCCCCAATTTTTTCTTAGTAAGTCAATGTAAACTCTTTAAATGAATCAACCATGTGAACTTTTTGTTTTTTGATGTCTTCGTACACCATCAATCTTTTCATTTCATGTTCAGCTGAAGAACAAACAAAAGTGCAGGCGCCTCTCATAAATCCATCATCGTTCCAAAACCGCCCCAAAACCAAAATAACTAAACCATTTTGAAAGTTCAGATTAAGAGGGGAGGAATGTACAATTTGATTGATTGAGATTTGAGTATTTAGATACAATCTAAAATTGGTAGTTGAATCTAGCCAACTTGAATGAATTGACTTTCTAGATTTCACAATTTTTTTTTCTCTAGCTTTTTCAGATTTTTGTGAGGAAAAAAGAAAAGAAAGGAAAATTTGTGGATAACTTTCTGCCTTGGGTGAAAATTTATGGCAGCTCCCGTCCTGCACAAGTAGTAGATGTTGGCAACCACTCCCCATATAGATTGCTTTGATTGTATCTCTTACATCAACATGATTGCCTTGCACAGCGCCTGCCTGCTACATAACTTGCTACACCAGCTTTGAGCTTGAAGAAGATGAAGGCTCTGATGTCAATCTATATGCATGTGGTTGCTGAATTATTACCAAAACTGATTCTTTTGATCTTTCATTGCGAAGAGGGGTTGGCTACACCAGTGCAAAAGGCATTTTAGTATGCATGGCAACTTATGTTGTAAAGACCAAACAAGCAAACTAGTGATGATTAGATGAAATGAGTTTTGAAGCTAGGAGATGTTACATCAATGCAACAACACAGAAATGGGGATGTAGGGAAAATGGAAGCTTTGTAGCAATCTTAGAAAATATTTTGTTTCAAAAAATTCTTTGAGGGGCATCAGCAAGGGGCAAGTCTGAATTCTTACCACACCAATGTGCCACTCATAATTAGTGAACTCTCTGAAAGTTGCTGCATCCATTTCCTGCATACAACAATATTTAGTAATTAGACATTAATCTCAGTTCTCATCCACCAAATAAATTGACTAGTCTTATTATGATCATTCAACATTAACATATAAGACAGATACTACGAGCAATATCATTGTTTTTCCTAAGTGTGATCAACAAATTTAATCTTTAGAAGGAAATCCTATGATCAGAAGATGTAAAAATAAGCTTATAGTCCACAGTTACGGTAGCAAACCCCACCTACTATCCATAAGAGGATTAAAAATATACAAAACAGTTGTCATTTCCTAATGTCCTATAACAGATTCTTGAAGAATGAGATAAAATGCATTAAATGGATGCCAAAGATGAAATTATGGTCAAATGACTGTAGAAAAATTTAGGAGCAGCAGGAAATAGGAATCTTCTTAAGGTGTTCAAATGTAGAAAAACTTACAATACTATAGACAGGAGGCAGCATTTCCTCCACTTTAGATTTCACAACAGGCATGACAGAAAAGTTAGGAGCCAAGTCCTGTGACCTAAAAATCCACCTAGAAAAGATACACCAGAAAAAGAAATTAAATTGCATTGACATGGCTAGAAAGAAAAATAGAAACAAACTTATTAACCCTGAGGAATGCTCTTGATTGGAATGATTAATGCATACCCAACGTACAAAAAGATGCAGAATTGTGCCCATTCTCGAATTAAAAGCCTAAGCCAGTAGTTTTCTGATGAATTATCCATGTTAAAATATACCTGAAAACAAAATGCCATGTGATCATATAAAATCAGGTGTCAATAAGATATGTAATAGAGATATCTGGGAAAAGGTGAATTTGACATTTTCATACCACAGTTTCTGCCACTGCTATTATTTGCATTGCACTCTGAAATTTCCTGAAAAGATGCAGATCTAGTTAAACTGGTGATATTATTCTGATTAACTTATGCTGCTCCTCTTTAAGGTGGATTAAAATATTTAAGCACGAAAAAACATACTTGAACATATTGTATTTTGTATATATGGCTTCATGCATTGCTTGAATATCCTCATCCTCTATAAAAGTCAGCTGTTCTTGTAACACTGTTAGATTTTGTGATATCCGGCGGAAAATTACATAGAATGAGATGAAATAAGTAATCAGCAGAAGGGCCTGCAAACCAGTATATTAAAGGGAGTTAACAAATGACTTAGCAAACATATAAGCATTCACCGCAAAATGAACAGGCACGTAACAACTTATCACAAAACTCACGGTGAAATAAGGAATGCAGGCTCTGTAGCCAACAAGAGTCAAATAAAATAGACATCCCAGTGCAGCAGTAGTGCGGCGCTCAGCTAGTGAAAGGCGCTCACATGTAATGCAGTATCCATGAGATATGAGCAAGAAAGACACAAAAGATGCAGTCTGGAAAAGCACTCCAGTTACATATGCTCCAAATGAAATCCAAAGAGAACATGTCTGAAGATAAAAACATGAATACCTGCAAGATTGGATTGTTAAAGATGAAAAATCACAGGTTAAGTTCTTGCAATACACATGAAAATACAATCTCTGACAAACAAACCAGGATTTTCTCTATAATTAATTCCTAAAAAAAAAAAATTAAGCTTTTATGGTTGGAAAAAGAATTATATAAGCTAGTTACACAAATAATATTGATTAATCAAAATTCAAAGGATGGGGGGCAATAGAAATGATCATTTCCCTTGAAGAATAAAAAAAAAATGTTGAACCCCAGGAATTGCTATTTACTGATTTCGTTACTTGAAGGTTTCATAAAAATGGAAACTTTAGTTTCGATCAGCGTCAAAACTTACCAAAACAGGAAGGAGAGAGCGAGCTGCAAGGCTTTAATCAACGGAACAGACGCCAGCGTCAACTGCAAATTACTAGTCTGCTCTAGAAACAAGAACAAATTACAAAAACAGGAGAAAAAAAAAAAAACCGAAAGCATTGAAATCTGATGTTGGAGTAAATTACCTGAAAGTGGCGGGTCCTGTAGATGTTGATGGTCCAAGAACAGGCGGAGATAAACCAGAGGGAGAGGAAAGCCAAGTAGACGGAGGGCATGGGGCGGTAGGAGTCGTCGAGTGCGGCAGGGTGGTAGTGGTGGACATCGGAGGCGCCCATTTTAAGGAGAGAGGAGAGAGAGAGAGTTGGAATGCTTTGATTAACTTCAGATTAAACAGAGTTTTAATTTATGGTTTTGTTTGAGTTCGTGCTAGATTGCTTGTGTTTCGGATTTTAGGCTGCGTGACCATCGCTGCCGATTTATACTAGGCTGCTGATATTTTTTTTTTTTTTA